GAGAGGGCGAGGCCAAGGCCAGGAATGGAGTACTTCGTTTCTTCCTGTCCACGAAAGCAGGCAGCAGGCCAGTATTGTGCTTATGCTCACGTATCTCCTTGAAGCCCCCTCCTCCATCCCACCCTCACCCATGGCATAGTCCTTTTGAGGCAGGCACTGGTGGCTCATGCCTGTAGCTACTTGGGAAGACCATGGTTTGAGGCTACCCTGTGCAAAAAGTTCATGGGCTCCCCCACAAACCAAACCCCAAATGAAACAATGACAAAAACTGGAAAACCCTGCACCCAGGAAAAACCCTGATCACTGGCAGGCCAGGGCAGCCGTCCCCCAGTGTAAGGCTCACCCTGGAGCCGAGTGATGGTCTTCAGCTCCTGTATCTGTCCCTCCACATCTGCCCCACATCTCAACCAATAGCTGGGTGTTAAGGTGACTGCCTGTCATTCCAAGCTATGAGGGAGGCTGAGATGAGAGGGTTGAGGTTCCAGGCTAGCCCTGGCACAAATTCATGAGACCCACCCCCCCATCTCGACAGGAAAAAAAGCTGGGTGTGATGGAGTGCACCTGGGTAAAATAGGATGATTATATCTGCTCTGTCCTGGACAAACAGGGAGACCCTGTCTTAAAAATAACCAGAGCAAAAAGGGCTGGAAATGTAGCTCAAGCTGTACAACACCTGCTTAGCAAGTGGGAAGCGGGGTTCAAACACCAGTTCTACCAAAAACAACAACTGCAAATCCTGTGGATGTAGCTCAGTGGTAGAGCACTTGTCTAGCATGCTCAAGGCTATGACTTTGATTCTCAGCACCTCAAAAAAACAAAACAAACAAAAAAAACAAAAACCAAACTCCAAACAAAACAATGACAAGAACTGGAAAACCCTGCACCCAGGAAACCCTGATCACTGGCAGGCCAGGGCAGCCGTCCCCCAGTGTAAGGCTCACCCTGGAGCCGAGTGATGGTCTTCAGCTCCTGTATCTGTCTCTCCACATCTGCCTCACTGTACACCTTCATGGTGGCCCTAAGGGTTCCCCAGGGGTCCTATGCACCTCCCACCCTCTCAGTGGGTTGCTTGCTCAACAGGGCTGAAATTCAAACTGTCCTTAGAATCTTGATCCATTGTGATGGGGGCCAGCATTCTCAATGCTCAGGAACTCTGGAATTTTAGCTGCCCATAAATTTCCAGGTCTCCTCTGGCTGTGTGCTCTAATGGAAATGAGTTACGTGGTGGCTTCTTGCTGTTCAGGAACCCTCCTGAGGTCCAGGCACCTCTTTCCTTGGTGGGGGTGGGTGGTTTGACACAGCTTCCCTCACCCATACTCCCTGTCCTCCTCCCATGCCTCTAGACCCACAGAGTAGCTGGACTTTGCCTCCCAAGCTTATTCCTACCTGCAGGACCTCTACTCCCCCACCCACTCCCCAAGTTCAAAGTCCATGTCTTGGATGACGTCCCCTGCTGTCTTCTGTCCCTCACCCCCATCCCTTCCAACCTCTCTTGACCCTTACCATGCTGCTTGGAACCCAGCCTGCTCAATCCCCACCTCCTTTGGACCCCTGGGCCTTGGTTCAGAAGGTACTTACCCCAAGGGGGGACAGCTCCATGCCTCTGCATCCTGCCCCTTCCCTTAGAGCAGTGTGCCTGGACTACCCCCCAGCCTGCAACTCTGTGGGGCACACAAGATAGGTTACTTCTCCTTAACCTCGTCTGCACACGTGTGCTTGAGCTGCCAGGACAGCAGCGCAGCAGATGTTTATTCCTTTCAGTCTTCAAGTCTGAGGTCAAGGTAGTACAGGACTGGTCCCTCCCGAGGCCATTCCTCAGCTTGCAGACGCAGTCTTCTCCCTGTGTCCTGACGGGGTTGACCCTCTGTGCATGTGTGTGTCCTGATCTTCTCTTATAAGGACACCAGTAAGATTGGATTAGCAACCCCCCCATGACCTCATTTAACTTTAATCACCTTGTTAAAGGTTCTGTCTCAAACAGTCGCACTGGGAAGTACCGTGGGTTAGGACTGTAACATATCAATTTGGAGGGCACAATCAGACTATAAGGTATGTCCTCTTCCTCTGACCTCTCACACAGATCCCTTAGTTTTTGGCCACTTTCCAGTCCAGTGTTCATCCCCTGCCCTCCCTACCAGCCTGGGCCTCACCTTCAGAGGGCTGGAGAGCTTCTCCCCCCGACCCCCCTCCATGAGCACAGTCCACTCACCTCCTGAGTTCTTGGGGACCTAGCTGAGGTAGAGCCTACCTGCTGCCCCCCAACATTGGCTCTTCTCCCTCAGAATTAGAGCCCCTGAATTTTAGTGGGATGCATGGCTGTCCAGAGCAAGGCTGCCTTCCTGGGTATCCTTATGGTAGATGTACCAACATGACTTAATTCTGGCCAATAGCGTGTAAGCAGAAGTTGTGGGTGAAGTGCCTTCCTCCTCCCCCTTCTTCCTGTTAAATGGGAAGAAGACACAATGACTGGAGCTGGTACAGCCCCCTGGAACCATGAGATAGGTTTGGAAATGGGAGCCATTACAGGAGGAAACAGGCTGATAGAAACCTGGGTCCCTGATTCCACAACCCTGGACTACGCTGTGGTTTGTGTGTGGGTTGTCCTCCAAATCTCATGCTGGAGTTTAATCCCCATTGTGAGGTATTAAAAAGGTGGAAATTTAGTGGACTATGATGGTTAGAGTTGGGGCCTCTGGGAGGTGATTAGAGCTAGATAAGTCATCAGGGTGGAGCCCTGTGATCCAGTCGCTGGGAGAAGAAAGACCAGAGAGATACATGTGATCTGTCTCTTCCACTATGGTGCCCTGTGCAGTTTCTGAATTCTGCTAGCAAGATGGCCATCACCAGGCATGGTCCTTGGGCCTCCAGAACCATGAAGCAAAATAAATTCCTTTGCTTTTCTCTTTCTTTCTTTCCTTTTCTTTGACAGTACTAGGGTTTAAATTCAGGGTCTTCCACTAAAAAGCAAGTGCTTTACCACTTAAGCCATGTCTCCAGGCCTCCACCTGGATTTTTACATGAAAGGAAAATAAAACTCTAGTTCATTTGAGCCGTTTTCTTGGGCTTGCTGCCACTCTGCCTTCCCAACTTTGAGAGCATACTGGGTCTTCAAGAGACCTTCTGAGTGACTGGCTAGATGAAGGCACAGGGGCGAGTCTGGGGCTCAAGTAGTTTTCTCAGTGACAGTGGAAAGGCAAGACTTGGATTCTCTGCCTCTTCTGGGGCTGATGTGGGTGGTTGGGCCCACAAAGAGCTTTCCTTCCCTGTGGACAGAACTTTGATAGGCAGGCAGCTCTGTGGCTCACTCCTCCTGGAGAGGAGGCCTCACTGATGAATGATAGGTGGGTGGGCGAGGTGCATGCCCTTGTCTCTGGGAGCCACAGTGAGGCTCTGCCTGCCTCACACCTCTGTTCTGCTTCTCCAGCTAAGTGCTACAAAAACAGACCCCTAAGAGGCTTTGGTGATCTCACAGGAGTGTCTAACTAGTTCTGGGGTTCTGCATTAGGAACTCCCCTTGTACATACTCCAGTGTCAGCTGTGTGGTCATAAAGGTGATGGACTGATCACCTCTCCTTAGCCCGCTGCCATGTTTAGTGCTCAGGTGGGAGAAAGGACAAGCCATTTATTAGCTTCATACCCCCAGCACCTGCTGTCCCTTTGGGCTTGTTGCAGGTATAGGAACCAGAAAGGGGACACAAAGCCCCACGAAGAGTACACAAGTCCCCTCCACGCATAAGGATTGTCACCTCCACACAAGCATCTGGTTCACAGAGCTGACCTTGTTTCTTGTTGCCCTTGGGGGAGGACCCCAGCCTCCCAGTGTTTTCTGAGTCAACCTCTTGGCAGGAGGTTTGGGAAGGTGGCAGTCTGTGCAGGTCTGGCCACGCACAAGTGCAGGGGACAAAAGGCACTCGGGTGGGGAGAGGCATGTGTGAGGTGGGAAAGGCCAGCTGGGAGTTGGGAGGGCAGAGGGCTGTGTTCCAGGACTGCCCCTGCCCCAGATCCGCTGCACCCTAGCTGGAGTGCTCTTAGCTGCGACGATCTGTAAGAAACAAAGGGAGATAGATAGAACCTGTTCATGGTTGCTCAGAGTCCCTGCCCCCACACCATCATGGCAAAAGCTACATCCTACAACAAGGACAACTAACCTGGGTCCATCAGCATCAGCCTGGTGTTGGTACTCTCAGTTCCGGGTGCTCTTCTTGAGGTGCCTGCTGTGCCCCACCCACACTCCTCATTCTGAGCTCTTCCCTGTCTCACCCTGACTCCCTGGATCTTCCTCTGGGAATGCAGTGCTTGTCTGCTGCACCCAATCCCAGATCCAGCCTCTCACTGAGGAAGCAGGGAGCAGCCTATCACTTGGGTCCCCTGAGCTGACTTTATTTAAATCCAGGCACTGGGACCTTGGCTTCTGCCTCTTGTTGCCACCCCCCACCCCACTCACCTGTGCCCATGTCTTTGGGGAGCTGCCCCGTCTCCAGGAAGAGCCAGAGGTTGCTGCATTTCTGCGACTCCACTCTTGTCACCCAGTAACTGGCCACAGAACCTGCAACTGAGGAGCAGGAAGCAGGAGGGCAGTGGGCCAGTGGCCTCACTTTCTGCCCCTCTCAGGAAAGAGAAGTGGGGCAGATATGGTAGGTGAGCTCAGGCAGGGTTCTAACATGCCAGAGACAGAGGTGCCAGAACCACAGTCCCTCATGCTTGGTGGAATCCCACCCTTGCTGAACAGCCAGTCACCTCTGGCAACTGGGGTGCATTTCTGGGCCCAGGCACCTCGTTCCCTGGAGTACCCACCCGCAGCCATCAGCAGGTTCCACTGCACAGGGTATGGAAACTTTCTCTGAATGAACATCTGCAGGCCCAAGGTCGCACCGGTGCCTGCCAAGAGCCAAAGTCGCATCAGTTAGCCTGCAGGGGATCACCTGGGCACCCTGTGTACACCTGCAGGCAGGTGACTTGGCGCCACCTGCTGGGGAGTTACGGTGGGCTAACGGGTGTGTCCTCTCGCGCCCGAGGACACTCGAACCCAGCCTACCTGTGACAAAGGTAAAAACGCCCTTCATGAAGGCGGTCGACTGGCACGCGGCATATTCACCAAGTCCCTGGGGTGGGGGAGGGGATTCCATGGCTCATTTCACCTCCTCCTCCCCGTCCCGCCCCTCCCGCCCCTCCTTTGGACACAACGTGGACTTTGGGGAGTGAGTCACTGGTGACTGGACATGTCGGACTCCCCCTAAGCCCACCCAGGGTGCCCCACCCCCATGGCAGGAGGGCCCTAACCCTAACACTCCTTCCTAACGAGGACACCCCCAGCCAGCCCCTCCTGCTTCGCGTCCTAGGCCGGTCTTCTCACCGGGTGCTTGGCGGCCACGGCGTCGTCCACGCGGGACAGTCCCAGGTTCACCATAGCTGGTGGGGCTGGGAAAGCTGACGCAGGAGCCCGCCGGCCGGGGGCGGGGCCTGAGGCACGGTCTGCACGGAGCGCAGCGGGGAGGGGCGGGGCTTGGGGCGCGGGCTGCGCATGCGCCGGCGTGGAGGGCGGGGATACGTAGAGCCCGGCGGCGAGGGGCGTGGGCGCTGGCTCCACCTAGCGGTCTGCGGCGGGAGCGCCATAACCGTGGGCGCCGATGCGGGGTGGGGGGGGTGCGCGGTGCATCCTGGGGCGCCGCCCTGGCCATTGCCTCTGCTTCGCGTTCTCAGAGCGTTAATGATGGATGTTCCTATTAATTGTTAAAACGGAGCTTTGTTTGAACGTTGAGGTCAAGGGTTAAACCTCTTGAAAGCGAATTCGGAGTGATTTTTGGAATTATTATTTAGCAAAATAATTCTAAAGATCCCATTTAAACTCATTCATGGTGCCAGTTCTATGTGAGGGGCTGGGGTCCCACGGAGGAGTTAGAGCCTCTTCCCCCATAGAACTCGACTTGGAAACTGTTTTTACTAAAGTACACTCCTTACCTGTGCCCACAAATTAACTAAAAAAGGGGAAACGAGCTTGGCGTTTTTGCCTCCGTCTTTTACCCGTGTCCTTTGCTTGTGTTTGCTAACACAGCCTCGTGTCCACGCGGAATAAAGTACCCTCAGTTCCCCCCATGCCTTGGGCCTCTTCTGCCTAGGGCACCATCCATCTCGGGTCCTGCCTGAGTGGCTCAGGCTAGCAGGTTTCACAGGGAGCCCAAAGTGTCATCTCTACTTCCTGGACCTGGGCCTCTGCCTACTGCACATCGTTTTGCGTTCCTCTCTGGGAATCCCCTCCTGGCCCTGCGGCTTCTGTTGGGCTGGGTGCATGGTCAGTGAGGGTCAGGGAGCTCCTGGCCTGCTCAGCCATATGGGCACTCTTTCCATGTGGGTTCTTGGCCCTGCCCTTCCTGGCCTGGGCCTGGCCACTCCTGCCCCAAAGCTGCCTGACTGCACTCCAGTCCTCACCTTCTGTACCTTGTAAGGCGTGGGGACTCCTTGCTGGGCTTGTCTCCTGAAAGTGAACCAGGTGTGGGTCTCAGCCAGTTCTCAGCCCTTTGGGCCTCAAGATTCCTCTTATGTGTGGGGCGATGGCCTTTGGGCTCCTTCTGGCTGAGTTCCAGATGTCTGTACTGGCTGGCTTCCCTTCTGCCTACTAGCAGGACCACTAGTCCTGCCCACCATCCTCCAAGGGTTCCTGAGGTCACCCACTCACATCTGCCTGCCTGCCCCTTGGTATTCTGAGCCTGAGCCCAGTGTTGGTCCCTCTGCCCTTTCACCTCCATGCCCAGGGTGGCTGTAGAGCTGCTCTGTCAGAAGAAGCTGTGGGGGAGGGCACTCAAGCCCTGTTATGCCCTAGTATCTCTGTCCAAGGTGTGTGCAGGGCTGTAGCGGGGGCTGAACTAGGCTCCCCAGTACCTCTCCATCCTTGCCGAGGGTCTACTTCTGGAAGTAGGCCCTTGAAAGATCTGGATGTCTCCTTCCTCTCTCCTCTCTGGTGGTCTGGGAATTGGTGGTTTTAGTGGCCCACTGGATCTCAGTTTCAAGGCTGGCAAAGATGTCTGGGGGTCTCCTTCTACCTGCACACACCTCCTGGGCTCTGCCCTATCAGGCCCTCTGCTGGGTCTCAGGTTTCTACCGTGCTTTCCCAATCTTTATTAATGCCAGGCAGCAGTAGTTCTTACACACTGGTCACATGCTGGACAGTGTCCAGGAAGGAGTGAGGGGCACACAGCAGACAGCACAACACAGACAGCATGGGCTTCAGCTTCATGTGATCTCTTTCAGTGTCTCTACCTCCAACCCCAGCACATCCATCCACAGCTGCAGGGGTGGAGGTGCAGGCCAGCTGGTTGGTCCTCTTGTGGCCTAGACTGACCGGATCTTCATCTCAGACACCTTGTAGGAGTAGTTGGGGCCCCGGCCAGTCAGCCAGTTGATGCCATTTGCATAGCTCTCGTGGGAGCCAGGCAGATAGCGTCCGTTGAGGTTGGATTGGTGGCAGTTTTTGTACCACCAGGCCCCTTGGAACACAGATGCACAATTTTTCTCACTGTTCATGTCATTGTCCTGGTCATGGGTTGTGAAGGGCATGTCCCCGTGTTTCGCCAGGGAGTCTCCTGGAAAGACATGCACTTATCAGCTCCCAGGGCCCAGGCGGAGCCCTTTCCTGGCAGGTGAGGATAGCTTGTGGCACCCCTTCCACATGCCTTACAAGGGTCTCAAACTTTCTCTCAAGTTTACCTGCAGTGCCTCCAACAAATTGCCCCAGGACCAGCTTGTATTTCTCCTGTTCTCCGGACACCTGGAACGAGCTGTACTTGGCATAAGAGGCTTCACCTTGAAAATCCCTCAGGTCAATCCGGAGCTCATGGTTCCCTGGCCATGTGGGTGGAAGACGGGAAGGGAAGGAATGAGCCCTCAGGCTGGGTGGTGGGTAGGGTCTGGTGGGGAGCCTGGTGCTGGCCCAGGTGCCACTTCCTCACCTTTGGCTGTGATCAGGTATAGGTAGTCATTGCCCAACCAGAACTCTGTGCCCAGGTTTCCAAAACCTCTTTTGTAGGATTCCCAGTTCCGGAAGAAATCAACAGAGCCATCCACTCGTCTCTGGAAAACCTGTGGGGTAGTAGGGCAGCCTGAGGACAGGAGTGTCGGGTAATGGGGAGCAAGGCCTCAAGGTGGGGGACAAGTTGAGGTCCTGCCTCCTTTCTCCACATCATAAAGAGACAGCTAGTAGATGAGTGGTGAAGAGGCAGGTGGCACAGTGAGTGCAGAGGTGCCTTGCAGGCTCCAGCGGTCCAGGGTAGGAGGCAGGGGCATCAGATGTTTTGATGCATACTTCGCGACTGTCTGGGTCCTACCGCCCGCTCAGTTCTGAACCCCTCTCTATAGGGATCGAGATTCTAGTTCATGGATGCTCAGGCTTTTCCTGTGTGAAGGCACTTTATTTTCTCAGTGGCTTCCTGCCTTAGGCTCTCCCGAGCGCGACTGCCCTGAGCAAACCTCACCCACCCCATGTCGAGGCTCTCTACTCACAGTCCAGCCTCCGCCGTCCACATCCATGTCACACAGTACAGTCAGCAGCCGGCAGTCAGGGAGGTAGATGGTGTACCACCCAGTTAGGAAGTTCCCCTGAGCCAACACATCCTTGCAGCTCCGGGCTCCTGTGCCACCGGAAAGAGGGGTGGGGGTGGCCAGCACCTTGGGTGTGCTCCAGGGCAGGAGTCCAAGTGTGGTGTGATCTACACATAGCCCCCCAGCCCAAACTTCAACCTGGCAGTTGGATGGGGTAGGGTGGGAGGGGCGGGGTGGGAGACCACTCACCTGTCTGGCACAGCATGTCCCCCAGCTCCTTTTCCCCTGGGCAGGAGACATGACTGTCTTTCTCTTTGTTGATTTCTCCCCCGCACAGATGTGCCCCTTCCTGCACCCCCATGGGCAACCTGGCATGACTGATACTGGCTCCTCCATGAAGAGGAGGTATCAGTGGTTCTGATACCAGCACACTGAGACCCTTTGCTTCAGGCTCCTTTGGGGGTCTTTGGCTTCCCCCCTGGGTTTCGTCCTCTTTGTGATCCCATTAGGATAGGTCAGGGTGCTGGCTAGGAGGTTGGGTGGGTGCTGGGACTCCCCAAGGACAGTTCAACCCCTGAAGCTGGGCTAGTGGTGGGTGGGTGGAGGTGATCCCCCTTTCCACTGGTCCTGGGGACTTTCTGCTGTCCTCTTGCTACCATCCTACTCATACAAGTGTTCCTGGGGCCCATAACCACAGGGTAGCCATGCTTGAAGTTTTCCAGGGTCCTGGGTTGGGGATGTCCTCACCCAGTGAGGCTGAAGCTCCCTTGGCGCCTTTTTCCCCTGGAGAGATACAGTATGACACAGCCTGGACCCCAGAACTGGAGCTCCACCCATGCCCTCTGCCTCAAACCCCTCTAGCATTCAACCTCCTCTTTGGGCTGTGAGTCCTCAACACTCTGACATGCAGAGTGAGATCTGGATATGGTTTGGGTAGAGAGCTGAAGGTCCCTCCCAGGGACACTGTTTGTCCCCATCCCATGGACCAGATGGAGTCCAGGCACCACTTCCTTTCTCTGTACTGAAGGCTTCCATTGGAGCTGCTGAGACCCCAAGCCCACACCTCTCCACCTGGAGCTACTTCTCCTGTCCCCTACCAAGTTGGCATTGGTTACCATGCTCACCTCTGTCTCCAGGGGGTCCTATATCTCCTGGCTCTCCTGTGGGCAGAATGGGTGTTCTTACAGTGCTGGCCTCCCCAGGGAGGGAGCTCCTCTTCCCTACAAAGCTGTGTGGGTGTGCACACATGTGTGCATGTGTGAGAGAGCATAGGGCTGGTGGGAGGGAGCTTTGGGCACCCAGCCTTGCTGGAAGTGGGGAGGGACAAAGCCTGTCAGAGCCTGGGGAGGAGGGTGTGGGGGATGGGGTGCTGCTGGCTGTGTTTCTGTGTCCTGCCTGGGCCTTGGGCAGACAGACCTATGGGAGGTGCCCCTCCTACCTTTGTTGCCAGCTGGTCCCATCTTCCCTGGGCTGCCTGGGGGCCCCCGCTGTCCTGCAAACGCAAACACCTGGCTAGACTCCTAGGTAGGGTAGGGGGAGGGCTGGCCTGGGGGAGATACTCCCTTGGATCTGGGCCCCTACCTCTTCCAGCAGGGCTGCCAGGCTCTCCTTTGGGCCCTGGTAGGCCAGCAAAGACAGGGCAACTTTGGATGATGGCCACCTTTTCCTGAGCCCCCAAACCCACAATCTTCACATCTGTACAGAACAGAAGAGGGTGAGACCTCAGGGTACTGCTAAAGAACACCCTCTCTTGCACCACCCATTCCTGAAGAAGGTCATTTGGTGCCAGCCAGGCACCAGAGGTGTTCCCAGGCTGACTCCTCTCATTCCACCGCTTGTTGCCACGAATGCATGCTGGAGGCGTCCTGCACCTTGCACGTGCACATATATGTGCGTGTGCAGTGTCAACACAGCTGAGCAGGCCCATCTCACCTGGACAGGTGCCTCCCTCCTGGCCCAAGATCAGCGAGGGGCAGAGGCAGAGCAGGGATACAAGGGCCCGAAGGGCAGGACACCCCATTTCTCTAAGCAGAGCAGTGACTACCCGGTCCAGCGCTGGGTCCTCTGTGCTGTGTTACACTGTGGGAATGAGGTGTGAGGTGAAGGTCCCTCCCTGCCCAGCTGCCTGCTGGGGCGGGTTCAGCTCCTGTTCTTCATAGCTCAGCTTTTCTCCCTGGAAAGGAAACCCAAGTCGAGGGCAGACACAGCACTTCCTGCATGCCACCAGATGAACCCACTCTGCACCCAGTTCCCTCGCAGCAGGCGGGTGTACTGCCCTACCCAAACTTCTGGGGACTGTGTGCAGATGGACATGTGCTGTGCTCAGCGTGACGCTGGCTCTTGTCAGTTCTGGGGACTTAGGGACATGGGAACACCCCTATTCTCCTTCCTTTGCCCTTTCTCTTCTGTCTCCTACCTTCCTCTTTCTCTTCTCCTTCTCTTCCTCCTCCTTCTTCTTTTGCAGCACTGGGGTTTGAACTCAGGGCCTCGTGCTTGCTAGGCAGGCGCTTTACCACTTGAGCTCTTCTGCCAGCTCTCTTCTTTTTATTCTTAGTGGGGGCAATTTCTCCCAGCAAACGTGGAAGCCCAATAATGAGAAGATCCCTGAAGACCTTCCCTGAAATATGGGATGGGACAGCAGGACATTAGCTTGATGATGCTACTACTTACTGAGCAGCTTTGGAGCCAGGTGCTGTGCTGAGAGCTCCTGACCGCCTTCCATCATGTGCATGGAAGACATGATGACCCCCAGGCTTGGAGAGGGAGAGAGGCATCAGTCAGCCTCTGGGCACAGCAGGGAGCTGGGCTTCGATCCCCATTCTGACTGCCCTGCAGGCCCACCGTCTACCTATTTCAGGCTGGCCTGGCTGGGGTGGGAGCATCAGGGCCATAATGGCCAGCAAGTGGTGTGCCCACAAGGACCTGTGTGTCTGGAGTGGACAGGAGGCTGGAGAGGATGTGGCCCGGCAGTGGATCCAGCTAGGGTGTGGAGCCCTCTCAAAAGATGTTCTGGTTGCAGCCAGGGTACTGACTTCCAGGTGACAGACTACTTCATCCCAGGCCTGGTTGCCCAGCTCCAATTCCTGGCCTCCCAACCAGCCAGCCTGCTCTCTGCTGGCCTCTGGGCAGCTGCTGTGTCCAGGGCTCCCAGTAGGCCCTGTGCTCTGGTCTGGTGGGTATTACCCTCAGCGTAACACTTCTCCAACCACTTGGGGAAGCTATTGACCCAATAGCTCTTCCCTGAAAGGGAACCAGGAGATGTAAGAGTCCCAGCTTCCTTGGCCATTGCTTGTCCTGGAGATCGCATGGGGCTAAGGTCAGAATCAGGCCAGGTCTCAGCTTCCTGAGGCTCCTCACTTGCCGTGTGACCTTTGGCAAGTGCCTTTGCCTGTCTGAGCTTTGCTTTCTCACCTGTGAGAGAAAGTAACAGAAATAATTGCACCTGAGCCTGACACACCTAAGCCACCAACCCATCTATTCCAGAGCCCTGAGCAGAGCTCCCCATCGCTGCCACCATCACTTACAAAAAAAAGGTATTATTTTTTTCTAAGAATAAGGTATGCTCATGGTAGATGAGTTGGAAAACGTGTAAAAGCACCAAAGTTTTGTTTTTAAATCACAGAGATAGAGAAGGGGGCTCTGAGGTCACATCCTGTTTCCCTGAACCTCTCTGCCTGTAGGCCGGGCGGGGTGTGCTATGCCCCAGATATGCCCTCCCCTGCCTGTCCTTGGCTCAGTGGAGCCCACTTCCCTCTTCTCTGACCCTTGCCTCTGCCTCTGTCTCTTGAACCAAACTTCCTGCTGTGTGCTGCCCTTCCTGCCCCAGTACTGACCCCTTTAGAGTCAGCAGGAAAGCAACCTTCCTAGGGAGCCAGCAGCAGCTTCCTCCCTGGGTGTCCCCAGTTCCCCCCACCCATGCAGACTGGGTGTTCAGAAACCTTGGGCTGGGGCTTAGGCCAAGCACTGCCTGGGCCCTCATGGGTGACACTGGATACTGCAGCCCGTGGATGTACCACTGTTCTCTGGATGATGGTGCCTGCTGGGGAGGGAAGGGCCCTGTGTTTGCCCGGCCTCACATGGGCCATTGGTTCCCAGTGCAAACACTGACTCAGGCCTAGAGTCAGCTCAATAGTCAGGTTCTAGATGGGGCGACTGCTCTGGCCACCTGTTCGTCCACCCTTGGCTCCTCTCATGGAACCAGGTGTAGGTCCATTTTACCCCAGACAGTCTTTGTTTTACTGCCAGTCTTCAGAACTCTCTGTAGGTCTGGTTCCTGAGGCCAAGGAGCCCCCTCTTCCCACCTGGCTTCGATGATCAAGTGTGACCCCCTGGCCTCCCTCTCTGGGTCCTGCTGTCCTGTAGCAATCTGTGTGTCTAGTACCGTTGTCAGTGAAGCTGGAACCTCCTCCAAGCTCATTCCTCTAGCCCCATGAACCAAAACCATCTGGTGAGAATCCCAGCTGCACCCAGGATGTCCAGTCGTGTCCCCTTCACTGAGCCCCTCTAAGCACTGGCTTCCTTGCATCATTTCAGATGTGGACTCTCAGGTTGGGCCAACTTAGTGCCAACTCTAAATTTAGTGTGTGGAGTGGATGTGAAGGGCTGGGCTTGGGATGGAGACTCATGGACAGGAAGGCACAGAGATGGGTGTGGACAGATCACAAGGCAGATCCACAATGGCAGCAGCCAGCCCCATGGGGAGCTTGGGAGCTAGGATGTCTCCCTCTGAGTGTGCCCAACAGGCTATACTGGCCACACCTTTATGTCCCTTGGCTGTGGCTACCCTGGAGTGTGAGTACCTTTGGACCAGGCAGCAATCTGTGGCTAAGATGGTCTTTAAGGGGGCTGGGAGCTGATGGTGGGTTGCTGACCAGGCTTCCAGCTGCTGGTAGCAAGCTCTCCCTTGAAGGGGCACGTGGGTGAGGTGAGCGTCACAGTGTCCACCTGAGCCAGCTGGGTTTGCAGAAGTGGCCACCTTGACCAAGCCCACTATGCCAGATGCCATCATGGTTAGTTACCCAAGAAGGATGAGGTCAGGGGCCCAGGCACTGCAGAGTCAGGGCTGGTCCAAAAAGCGTGGTTCTGGAAGGCCAGGGCTTGGGGACAGAAGAGCTGAGGGTGACTGGTTCCCCTGCCTCCTGCCTACTCTACACCAGCACCACTGCTGGGGCAGGGAGGAGACTGTTTGGAGCTTGGGAAGGAGCTGCCAGTCTTCCTTGCTCTTGGTCAGAAAGCATTGCAGTCAGAGTCACTCTCCCCACCTCTTCCTCCTCAGTCCCTGGCCCCCCACATGCTGCTCCTACTCAGGCCATCAGTGGCTACTGCCTTGGCAGACCTGCTCCTGCCAGCTCAGAGCAAGCAGGCTTCCCACCTTCATGGCCTGCCTGTTCCTGCGTTTGCATTGCAGTTTTGTGTAATGTGTGGTTAAACTATTTTTGATTTTCCCCTTTTTAAAATATTTTAGTGGGCTGGGGATGTAGCTCTGTGGTACAGCACTTGCCTAGCATACATGGGGCCCTGGGTTCAATCCCTACCACTGCTAGCAACAACAAGAAGAAAACTTTACTGAAAACCCACAAGTCAGGAGACTTTCTTTCCCATTTAAGTTTCATGTGTTCCATACTACACTGGCTGCTCCTGATAATTCTGCCCAGTGAAATTTTCTTGGATCAAATTTTGCAGACTCAAAGTTTGCCAAGATTTAATTCTGCCAATTTTTGGCCAACAACAAACATTTCCTCTGCTTTTTTTGTGTATGTTGGTTTTGATTTTATTTCTAGAAATCATTGTTTCTGTTTTATTATCTATGGATGTTTAACAAACTGCCCCAAAGTTGGTGGCACAAAACAATCATGTGAGGTTGACTTTAGTTGTCACCTTGACTGGATGGAGAATCGGCTATGGGATTAGTAAGGCACATCTTTGGAGGCATCTGTGCGGGCATTTCCAGAGACGATTAGACCATGAGGACTCTGACCTCATTTCTTGATGAATTCATAGTATAGCGTTATTATTGGGAGGCAGTGAAAGGTAGGAAGTGGGAAGTGTGTCTTTGGGGCTATATCTTGCCCTGGTTTCTTCCTGTATCCTGTTTTCTCTGTTTCTTGTCTTCCATGATTGGAACAACTCTCATCCACCATGTGTTTCTGCTGCCATGATGTTTTGTCCACATGAAAGGGGTCTGGTGACCATGGACCAAACCCTCAGAAACTGTCAGTCAAAACAAATCCTTCCTCCCTTAGGTTGTTTCTGTCGAGTATTTTGTCACAGCAATGAGGAAGATAACTAATATAAATCATTTTTTTACACACTGGGCCTGTGGTTAGCCATCCAGTAAAGACACAGAAGGCTCTTGGTCCTTTTTCACATCCAAGGCCTTGGCTGACCTGACTCACACAGCAGGGATGTAACACTGGGTCGTACCATCTACTCCCAGAACCCGGAGTCATTGTTCCATGCCTGGGGCCAGGGCTGGGCTGGCTGAAGTGTGGTGTCCCCTGCCTTCCCCAATTCCTCTGTTGAGTCCCTACTTCATGATCTGCCTTTGGAGACAGGGTCCTAAGGAGGTGACTAAGGTTGATGAGCATGAGATTGAGCCAGTAGGACTGGTGTCCTCATAAGAAGAGGAGAAGGCGCCAGGGATGAGCTCCGCAGAGGAAAGGCCAGGTGAGGACACAGTGGGCAAGCTCAGTGGAGAGGCCCCACTAGAAATCAGCCTGCCAATACCCTGAGTTTGGGCTTGCAGTGTCCAGAACTGTGAGGAGCAAATGTCTGCTGTTGAAGCTGCCCATCTGCAGGATTCTGTGACTGCCAGACCACTCAGACAAACTCAACTGCAATGGGTAACCCGAGAGTCCGCATGTGATCTGCCAAGCTGTGGCCTGGGTTGGGGGGATCCTTGGTTTTCTTACATGGCAGCCCAAGCTGCAAGACAAAAGGGTCTGGGAATAAAGTGGACCATTCACAACCTGGCTGGAGCCTGTTCTGTTGCCAGGCAGTCAGCAGAAGAGAATTCCCACTGTGGCTCAGATGGTCACTACTTGATTTGCTTCTTACTGATCCATGGGGAATTGATGAACAATGCAGTGAGACAGAGAGCTAGCAGGCCACAGGAGTGGGAGACACACAGATGGGTGCACTGGGAGGAAGGCCCGCAGCAGGTTCTAATGGGCCTCAGGTGCTGTGTCAGGCCTTGTTAGCAGAGGGCACAGATGGCAGCCAGAGGGGCCAGAGACTTTCTCAGTCTGCAGATTTTCCCCTGCTCCCCAGCAGCCTCTGGGTTGGGCCCTGGTTGGTGGTGTGGGTATCCCTGACGTGCCATACCCTGTGGTGTACAGCCCCCTCGAGCCAGTTTCTTTGGCACTAAGCGTCCCTGGCATCCAGGGTACATAGCTATGTCCTCCCTTGAGTAGTTTTAGCTCAACAGGGAGCAGCCTTTTCCCACCTTGTGGGTCCTGGTCCTTCAGTTGTTATCCCACTTATCACTCATGACCTTTTTTATATTAATTGTTTCTGTTCACTCTTCTGACTGGACCCTAAGTGCCTGCCCACCCCCTAGCTTTTCCCCTAGCTGAGCTGGGGAAAAGACAAGGGGCAGAGCTTTGCTGTACCTTATGAGTCCACTGAATGCCCTTTGCTGCCACCCTGGGGCTACTTCAGGGTCTGCACCTGCCCATGGTTCTCGAAAGTCCAGGGCATCCAGTTCCAGGTGTGAGTGCTGTACCTAAGGACATCTCCACCTGCTCATCCTAAGCTGTGCCCACAGGCCTCCTGAGGACACAGCAGGATGTGCACTGGCCTTTCGGCAGCTACAGCCACACCCCGTGTCAGGCCCTGGTAGCCATACTTGTGCGGGACGCTTGGGGGAGACTGGTAGGCCCTGAATGTCTGGAACTTGGAGTGCCAGCTGCTCTCTTGGACCAGGCAGGCCAGATGCTGTCACAGGAGCCCTGTCCTGCTGCAAATGCTGCTATACTACAGAGATCCCAGGCTTTAGTGACCCTCAGGTCAATGTGACTCCATTCCTCCATCACTTATTCACCCCACAGATACTGAGGGAGTACCTGCACATGCCAGACCCTAAACTCCCCAAGCATGGATTCTGCTGTCTGCAGTTCAGGGTGTGTGTACAGGGGACAGGTAACACACACACACACACACACACACACACACGAGTGGGACCTCGTGAGATTTCATCACACTACTCAGAATAGTGCAAAGCTAAAAACCTAAAAATTGTTTATCTCTGGAATTTTATTTAGTAGTTTCAGATACAGGCTGACTTTGGATAAATGAAATCTCTAAAAGCAAAAGCACATATGAGGGGAACCATTGTAAAAGTTTTAAAAAGACTAAGTCCTAATTTACAGACAGTACAATTCACCCTCTCTGGTGCACAGCCATGTAAATCTGGACAGTCATGGATTTGCCACTGTCCAGCGCACAACACTCCTAGCACCTCCCAAAGCTGCCTTTGTATCCCTTTGCTTCCTAGACTCTGGCTGCCACTGAGCCGCTCATTCCCTGCCCCTGTGGTTTGCCCTATTGTCGAATGTCACGTAAAAGGACTCACGCGACTGAAGCCTGTTCAGAATGGCTCCTTTCACTCAGCTGATGAGCACAGATGCAGCCACAGTACCACGGGAATCGACGCTTCCGTCCTTATTCCTGAGAAGCTATGCCTCGTAGGGTTGGGCCACGGCTGTTCTCCGTCCACCCAGCGGAGGGCATTTGGTTGTTTCTAGTTTTCAGTGACTGACTGTGAGTTAAGTTGTCAGTAGTCATACATAAGTTTGGTGTGAACGAGAAGTCACTTCTCTCGGGTAAATGCCTAGGACCAGCACTGTCCACACAACTGGTACAAGTGGACGCTTCCCTTAGTAGGATCTGCAAAGTGTTTTCCAGAATGTGGTCTTGTTCTCCCCACAGGGACGTTCTAGTTGCTTCTCATCCTCTCCAACACTGGGGATTTGACAGTGTTTTATTTAAAAATTTCAGTCATTCCTAGGGGTATGCAGCTGGCTGTCAAAATGGTTTGTTTCAACTTGCTTGTCCCTGATGATCAATTATTTCTCACCTAGATGTCTTCTTTGGTGAAATGTCCTCAAATCTTTGGACTTTTTTTTTCTTTTGTGAATTGTGTTGCTTGCTTGTTACTATTGAGTCTTGAGAGTTCTTCACAGATTCTGCCCAAGTCCTTCGTCACACTGTGTTTTGTAAATCTCTTCCTGGAAAGCTTTCATTTTCTGTCCTGTGACTCAGGTGAGCCTGGTAGGGACCTGGCAGAGAAACTTGCACCTGTGAAACCCCACAGAGGAGGCACCTTGGCTGCTTCCTTCCTCTCTGCCAGGGACTGAGGGTCTCTCTCTGACCCAGTGCCCCCTTCCACTCCGGAGGGTTTGTGGTGCTGGCCTTCCCAGCAGCCCTCACTCCTGACTAGAGGCGTCTGGGAGGCAAACCCCAGGCCATGTGCTGTTCTTGGCCCAGGGTCTCTAGGTGGTCTTTGGGGACTGTCCTTCCCTGGCTCCAGCCTCTTCCAGCCCTGGTGCCTCTCTGACGTCATTCCCACCCGCACACTTCTGACACTGGTGATAAGGCGGCCACCGATAGCATAATCCGCCTTCTGTGCTGCCCAGCCCCTCCTTTCCCATCCTGCTTTCAGGGATCCCAGCTAGTGACTGTACGGGAACGGTGGGGGTTGGAGGGAGGGTGCCCACATTGTTCTCATAGCTACGCTGGCACGGTATCTGGCTCTGGATGACTGGTCAGTGTTGAGTCCAGCCCCGAGTTGCGGATGGATGCACTCCAAGGCCTAGGCCCTCAGCCTCTGCCAGGCTGGGGGTGAGCAGAGGTGCCTGGGGTGTAAGTCCTGACAGCATGACCAGGCCTCTGCCATGCTCTGTGGCCAGCTATGCTGGGCCCAGGACTGGTGATGTAACCAGCAGGTTTGGGAACATATCCTCAGCCGCTGCATCAGGGAAGAGCCGGGCTGTCTGGAGCCCTCCAGGAAGTGACCCCTGGGACCAGAGGGTACACTTGAGTGACTGTGCCAAACAATAGACAAAGGGGGACTGGATTTCCAAGGTGCCTTTCTGCTGGCTCCTTAGCCTGCTCCTCCCGTGAACCCAGGGCAGCTGGGATTTGGAGATCTGGGGTCTGGGACTGGAGTGCAGGTGTGAGGATGGGCCTGGCCCTACTGAGCTGGGTTCTGATGCTGCTCTGGGTGTCTACAGCTCAAGCTGAGGTCCTGGTGCAGCCTGACTTTGATGCTCAAAAGGTATTGATTGGACCTCATGCTGTGCCTGGATGGGGTGAGGACTGAGCTACTGCTGGGAGAACATGTGGTTGAGAACAGGAGCTGCTGCTAGCTGTGGGCCAGCTGGGGAATGCTTTAGACCTGAGGTCTGTTTAATCCAAAATGACCTAGCGCAGCAGTCATTTCAGAGTGGGGAAGGAGGCTCACAGCAGGCAGTGGCAGAACAGGGGCTCTGGTCTACGCTGGCAGAGGTCCTCATTGTGTGACTTCTGATAGGCCCCTGCCTCTCTGGTCCTTGACTTGTCCCTGGGGTCTCTGGGCAAGGAGATCCAGCTACTGGCTGTCTGACCTGCTGGGTCACCAAGCCGTCCTGCAGTTCTCAGGCCTCTGGCACATTGTTGCCATGGTTTCTGATTGCAAAGTCTTCCTGAGCAAGAAGGACCACCTGCTGATGTCCATCAGCACCATCAATGCCACAGGGGAGGGCAACCTCAGCGTCCACATGGAGTTCCCGAGGTAAGCCACTTGTGGGTTGCATGGGCTGGGGAGGAGACCAGCAAACTCATGGAGAATGACCAGTTGTGCACGCCCAGGGCAGAAGGTGGGCTCTGAGGGGCACTTCCGAGTCCCAGGTAGGTCTTGGGGGATCGAGGAGTTGCTAGGGGTAAGGAGTCCTTCCACCCATGGACCGCAGCTCTATCTCCCCCACCCTCCGGATTGCCCTCTGGGCAGCAGAGATGGGTGTGGGGTGTTGGTGCCTGACCCTGTCCATGTCTCTGTGGCTTCCTCCGCAGCCCTGGGCTACCTGGATGTGCACATGGCTGAGATGGACTACAGCTCCTTTGCACTGGTCTACATCTACAGCGAGCTGGTGGGGGCGCTCAGCACCATGGTGCGACTACAGTGAGCGCCCATCTCCTTCCCCTCCTCTGTCTGCCCACTCCTCCCTCCTCCGCCCATCTTCTTCTCCAACACCTCCTTCCTCCTTTTCTGCCTCAACTGCTAGACCTGCACCGCACCCACTGATTTTAGGCCAATTTTAGGGCTGCCCTCTCCACCCTCTCCCTAGGTCCTGCTCCTTAAGACTCTCCTCTGCCCCCATCAGCCTGGGCCTTTGCAGGTCTAGGGGGTAGGGACCCCACTGAGCCTTGAATGGTGGGGGCAGGCAGGGGGGTTTGGTGGGAAGGGTCCCGAGGGTCAGGTAGTCACAGCACACGTTCCTTTCTGGAGTGGGGACCCTCCCTTCCCTGTCAGCCTCCCTGCTGAGACTGATGCTACTCTAATTTCTGGAGTTCCCCACGGTGGAGAGGATGGGGGAGGGTTGGTGAAGATCATTCAAGGGAAGATGCCTAAGGAGGAGTGGGGACCAGAAAAATGAAAATGGCCTGAGAGATACCCGGCCACTCCAGCCTCCAACATGGCCTTCTGTGAATTAGAAGAGGGGAACTCTGGACGGTTTCTGCCTGGGGGCAGGGCCCAACCTGCCTAACCTCGGGTGGCGGCCTTGCTGTCAGCCCTTGGGGAAGTGGAACGAGGCCAGGAGACCCTGCCCCCTTTCTCCCTTGCCTTGCCACAACTCGCGTGAGTAGCTGGGTTTATGGTGACCTCTGCTCTGCCCCAGGATGGACTCAGGATGCCAGCCCCCAGGCCCTGAAGGTCTTCCGGGACTTCTCCCCACCGTGGGGCTCCTGGATGACATGACAGTCGTGCTGCCCAAGTCTGGTGTGTTGCCAAGCCCAGTCTCCCCTATTCCACAGGTCCTCCTTCCCTGTTGCGTAGCATGGGCAGCAGGTGGTCTTCTAGGGGTGGGTGGGGGGCCCTATAGGCCTTCCTGCCCCACAATCCCTTTCTTTCCCCAACACAACCAAGGAGAGGTTTTGGGCAGTATGGAGAGTGAGGGTCTTCTGTCCCTCTCTGGGACCCAGGCACCCAGGGCTGGAGGATGTGGGAAGGGAGGGAGGCAGGTTGCGGGAAGTTCCCAGAAGCACAGCTCACAATGTCTCCATTGCAGATGTGTGCTCTCCTAGGCAAGGAGGCACCCAGGCACCCACAGAGACCCGCTCCAGCCCTATCACAGTGGAGGGCATGGTGAGTTCTCTGCCTTGTGTGGGCTGCCCCTGGCCTCTGGCCCCCTTCTTCTTACCCTGAGATCTGTTGTGTAGACCCCACCTCCTTTCTCTGGCAGTCCCTGAGACATTACCTCTCTCAGGAAGCCTGCCCTGACTTCTGGGACTGATATAACAAAGTACCAGAAACTGGGTGGCTTAAATAGCAAAAATGAATTCTGTCCCAATCCTGGAGGCCAGAAGTCAGAGACTGAGATATCTGTAGGCGGGGTGTTCTTTTTGGAGGCTCTGAGCGGACCCTCCCAGCCTCTCCCACTCCCCATGGCTCTAGGGAGTCGTGGGCACTCCTTGGCCTAGGCAGCATTGCTTCAAGCTCTGTCTGCTTATCATTTGGCATCTTCCCTCTGCCCATCTGTGTTTAAATTCCCCTCTTCTTATAAGGACACCTGTCCTTGGGTCACCCGAAATCCAGAATGATTTCACCTTGGGTTCCTTAACTAATGACATCTGGAAAGACCTCATTTCCAAACAAGACCCTACTTGGAGGGTCTGGGTGGAGGTGAAGTGGTGGGGACACTGTTCAGTCCACTATATCCTGTGTCCCCATAGCCTCTGAGCCTGCATCCTACCCTGGAATGGCCTCTTTCCCTCACCAGGGAAGAGACAGCAGATTGTCATTCACTGTCTACCACAGGGCTGTGTCTGGAAGCCCTTGGGACCCCAATGCAGGTGGTTTCTCACCATACCTGACTGGAAAGCCATTGGTCCCTAACTCAAGTTCACCACCAAGAATTTGAGCACCACATAAAACCACGAAGAATGGATGGGTGTGACAGTCACCAGCATCTAGGGGGACCCAGTGACTGTCCTGTCATGGTGGGGAGAGGGGCTTTTGATGTTCCCAGGGTGGGCATTCCTCAGATTTGTAGCCTGCCTTGGTCGTCATCCTGTTCTCCTCATTTTCTGTGGCTTCAGATTGGCCATGCTCTCTTCTCCCTGACTGTTTACCTGAGCTGCTGGGGGCAGTGTTTAGGCTGTTTTAATTTTTTGTGGGTCTAGATAACCCTTTCAGCCCTTAAGTCTTTCACCACTGTGGCTTTGGAAATGTATGGAGGGGAGGAAATCAATGCCCAATTACCCTTCAAAGCTTTCTGGTCACTTAGGGCTGGGCAGAACTTGGGTGTCACTTTCCCTGCAAGAGTGAGGGACTCAGAAATATGGCTGGTCTCTAGGATCCCCTGGGGCAGGTGGGGCAGCATTGGTACCAAGGTTGTGTTCTTTAGCCTGGGGCCTTGGGGCAGTAATGGTAGGTGTGTGTGTGTTTCCAGATAGAAGTTTTGGTGGAGACTAAGGTCTCATGGGTGAGAGCCCTGTGGGGAGTAGTACCCAGCTTGTAGAGAGTGGCAGGGGCATTTGTCCAGGGTGGATGGAGTAGCTGTGCAGGGTGAGACAGGAGCAGCAGACCTTACCACCACATGAGCTGAGTGAGGTCCACAGCCCTCGAGGACCACCCTGGATCTCAATTCTCCCACCATGCCCTGACCCCAGCCCCTGTAGGCCTCCTCCTTCCTCCCAGTAAACAGATTCTGCAGCCTCACACCTCTTTTTTATGTGTCCATTTTATGTATTTATTTTTATTATAATTTTTTTGTTATGATATGCGCAGGGGGGATTCATAGTGACAATTCTGATTAGGCTTATATTGTACATTGAGTAGACCACCCCCATGATCTCTCCCCCTCAATCCTCTCCTTAAGCCCACTTAGAGCAATTCCATGGTTTCTTTGTTCTATTTCACGTAGGTATATGAAGTCTATCAACCATATTCCCTCACCTTAATCTCCTTCCTTCACCCTCCCTGTCCCACTAGTGCCTCCCCACACTGTACCTATTATTTTACTGTAAAATAATAACTATCCTTCATTATTAATATTTAAGTTGATGTTCAAAGGTGTTTCTCAGTGTATCCCTTCTGTGAATCTACTTTACTTTGGTCTGTTCAATCCCTTCCATTACCCTCTCTTACCCCTTCCTCCCACCCCCATGATTCAGCAGCTTTCAATACACATCCTCTACCTGCACAGATGTCTCACAACTCCTCACCTTTCTGGAGAAGCCTTTGAGGGAGGCACAGTAGGCCTTGTCTTGACCCCAGTCCTCTTGGGGAGACTGAGGCAGGGAGGTAAGATAAAGAGGACTCTGGTACTTGGAGTCCTCTTTGTAAAGCAGGCTGAAGACTGTGGCCAAGTTTGGGACATGTGGGGGGTCTACACCCACAGAGAGAATTGAGTGCCCCCTATGTGATCCCCATGGGTTCACAACCATGGAAATGCTGAGGCGCCCTGTGAAGATAGGCCCTGGCCCTTGGGGCTCTGCTGGGTGGCACAGGCTGGCTGCAGAGCTGCAGGTGGAGTGGCAGGAGGCTGTGGAGCTGGGCTAGTCAGGGGTTTACCTACCACCACTGCTGCGATCTTTACCACGATTTACACCTCTGGAGATCCAGAAATGGGTCAGGGTTGTAGCCAGCACTTTCCCTCCACCTTGCCCGGTGGGTCCACACGCTCCATGACAGACTCCTGGGGCACATAGCCATGCCATCTGTTTCTCAGATCCAGACACTGAGATACTGAAGTGGGGCGTTATCCAAGACCACAGAGCTAGCAAGCAGCCAGGCTGTGGTTCAAACTCAAAGGGCCAGGTTCCACGGCTCTGCATTGTCCCTGGATGAGATGGGAGGGGCAGAGGAGGCCCTCCCCAGGGACCATCACTACCGGTGTCCTTGCCACGTCACTGTGTTCCATTCTCCTGAGGGGTCCAGTGCCTAGACTTCAAAGGGCACGTAGTTGAAGCAGGAAGGTGTTGGAGGTTCTGGTCCATCACTCATCAGTGCTTGTGGCCCACAAAGGGCAGGAGCTGGCAGCACTCAGCCCTGAGGGGCACTGCCCTCATCCTGCCACTGGTCACCCAGAGAACCAGGTGTCACCACCCTACTTCCATCCTCCCAAGTCTGTTTCTGTGGCCACCTAGGTACCCTGACTTGTCACCCTGTGATTAGGGCCTCCCTATGCCCTTCCACTTCTTGGGGTGATTGCTCTTGGTCTCCAGTGTACCATCCAGCTCTGGCCCATCTTGGTCCTAACTCATTCCCCTAAACCTGCCTGACAGCCCATTCAGGGTCCACAGCCACCCAGGTCCTCTGGTGAATGGGTTCCAGTGGCCAGGACCTTCCTCTCAACTGACCAAGCCTGGTGCTTTATCGAGGCCCTGAAGGTCAGAGGCTGCCCCCTCAGGACCAGGGACACTGACTAGGGTAGGAGTTACTTTGGGCATTCTGGGGCCCCTCCCAGTTGCAAGGTATCTACTACTTTGCTATACAAGGATCTCAACCCTTGTCCCTGTGTGTCACCAGCACCAACCCTGTCACTTTTTCTGGCCCTTTAGGAGCAGGGCTTCCTGGCTAGGGTGCTCCAAGGACCCCTTTGGTCTCCTTTCCCCCTTTCATTCATGGGAATGGGAATGTGGAAGGAAAATTTTATTATTATTATTTTTTTAGTTAATTTCCAGAAGGTGAAAGTTTTTTTTTAAAGTATGTGTCACAAATAAAGTTGTTTTTAAAAATAAAAATTGTCTGCCTTAAAAAAATAATCTCTGACCTGAGAGATGCTTGCTTGGCAAATTTTAGGATTGTGTTTCTGTTCAAGGTTTGCTGGATGAATGTAGGTGGCAGTGGTAGGGTGCCGGGAGTACAGGTGTCTCTGGAGGCAATGTCTAAGAAGCATGTGTCACCTGGGAGGTGATGCAGGTCTCTCTGTCACCTGTGTTTAATGCCCTGCTGTCTGTGTCTTAAAATTCATCATTTTTACAGATGGGGAAACTGAGGTAAAGGAGCTTGCCTGGGTTATGCTGTAGAAGGTGGGGACTAAGAGTGGTGCAGCCCCACCCCAGGATCCAGTGTTGTCTGTGTAGCAGGAAGGTGGCATAGCAGGTGTGGCTGCTGTCCAGCCCAGATCGGCCCCTCCCTGGTTCGGGCACCACTGAGCCAGATGGCACTTGAGCAGACACACCAGGAACCTCTGAACAGCCAGCAGCCATATTTGTTGTGACATTCCCCAGGTAGTTGCACATGTTTGCACACTCTCCAAATGTAAGTCCAGGCACTGTGCGAGCAGAGGCTGCGAATCAGACTAGGAGGGAGGCCAGGCTGCTGAGGCCTGTGCTGGGTACCCTTGGGGTGCAAGGGGAATTGGTCTGGGTGGACCTAGACCCACAGGAGGCACCTTTCCTTCCTAGCTTGGAGGCACCACCAGGACTTGGTGGGGAATCTAGCTACTGCAGGTTCTCCTGCCCCTTCCATGTAAATCCCAGTTGGTGTTGGCACAGGGGCTCCAGGACCCATGCTGGTCAGCTCCCCACGAGGGCAGGCAGCTGAGAGCCCTGACATCTCTTATGGGTTGCCTGTGCCAAGCAAGAGGCTGCTGCTAAGGCCACCTTGGGGTCCTTGGAGTTTTACAGGTTTAGGGTCCTGCATGGGCCCTCCTCAAATCAGTGGGACTCCCCTAGGACTCTGGCCCCAAGCTTATTATTATTATTATTATTATTATTTGGCCGTAGTGGGGATTGAACTCAGAGACTCAT